TGGAGGATACTCGTTTGTATGTTGTTGTTGTTGTTGTTTTTTTTTTTTAATTGTGAAATGTTAGGGTTTTTATTATTATGTATTTTTTTTTTTTTTAATGCATCAGTGTTATAAACCAGTTGGTCTATGTTGTTTGGAACTCAGATAAATTTTAAACCATAGCCGACTTGAATTATGAACTGACGTAAAGAATATTTCTCCATGCAGCAAGGGCATATTTCAACAACTGAATATTGAAGAAGACTAGCTATTAATGACGATAAACTTTTTGCTTCTGCCGGACGGTGGCCGATGCATTTTTGCTCCATTTGTAGACTGGATATAGTTTCGTCGCCCAGCTTCTGAGTTGAATGCATGGCGTGACCCTGTGAGCTGCGGATTGCATTTGGAATGTCTTTTTTCGACTGTGACCAACGTGGTGTGAATTGTAGATTCAGAAAATGGCGCGATGCCTGTCGTTCAATGCTTGCGGGACCCGTAACTATTAAAATTGATCACGCGGACAACTGCTGATCTGTTGACAAGTTCTGCTATCATCAATGATGAACTGCATTTCTAATGTTGGACTGTTTGTGTTAGCACTTCGGATGGCTACCATATGCTTTAATGCGAGTGTATGCTAGATATGCTGATACAGCAGTCTGTCAATCTTTCCACAAGGGACTGATAGACATTCTGAGTGTTTTTCGCTGGCACAGGAGCGGAGCAAAGATGGGGCAACCCGTTTGCTATGAAGCTGAAACTAAGACTACCAGACTACCAGACCAGACTACCAGACGATAAAACACAGAAAATTAAAATATTTTGATCACTTGAAACGTCTCGAAAGTTTAGAAAGAACAATAATGGAGGGGTATATACATGGGAAGAGAGAAAGTGGAAGGCCATTGAGAAGATGGGTGCAGGATGTGGCGGATGACCTCTAGATGGGTGTATTGGACACGGTACATCTTGCGTGTGATAGTGAAGTTTCTCGGAATGCTATTATGGGAGCAAGGTTCTACAAAGGACATGCTACTGACTGAGCAAGGGCAGAGTTCTGAAGCTAATGGATCAAGCAACACTGTTACTCTATCTCTACCAGATCCCCTGGTTACTGCCTGGTGCATTCTTCTCTCTAGACAAGGGTGATCTATTTGTATATCTACGCTGTTCTTTCGAAAGTAACAATAAACATAGAGAACATTATACGATATGTTCAGCATCATCCTGTAGCAGGATCATTATCTGCATACAAGAAACTGTGTAACGCCATTTCTCCGGCCTCGTGCACTTATATACCCAGAATGCCACTTAGTTGCAGAAGGCATTGTACCACAAAAGAGGAGCAGGGGCCGATCCTCACGAAAATGGACACAGGAAATAATTATTTCCAGTTCGCCATGGCGATTGATATGACCATCATTGATCAGTTTCTGAGACAAGATATTGTTTATCAGCCAATCTTCCTTGATGATCAAATCTTTTAGGATGTCAGTAATTCTTTTCTTCTTGATTCATGGTCTTTTGATAATCTTTCTATAGGACTTCGGTTAAAAAGATATTTTTTTTTCTTCTTCCTTAATGACTACGAGATAGTCCACGATTCACATACATGTACATAAAAGATATGTATTATTGACTACTTATTTACACGCAGAGCATACCCTACTTCAAGTTTGTATCACCATCCTTGTTAGATATATATCAATTATAGGACGCTGAAAACCCATCGCAACATTTGTTGGTTGTTTATGGTTTAACTACACAATTTTACGTTCGGTAGTTCTCCATTGTTACTATATAGTCGACATTCAAACGATTGTTGAAATCGACGCAATGCAGTCGTCTGCCAAATCAACTGCAATTTAAACGGACCAGGCATTGTGTAATTATGAAACTACGTTCACAACCGCTAAAAAACAGACGCTTACCTCACCATTATTTTTCTTATAGTCCATGCCCTGTGGCGTTAGTAGTAATGTCTATCCACAACCTTCTGTCTGGTGTAGTTTCAGTCACTTCTGAAACAGATGATCTTCAATGCCTATATCTATATTACCCGTGTGGGTTCCGGGGCCCTATTGTAGGGAAAACAATAATAGACGCACTGCCTACCCAAAAGCATGTCGTAAGAGCCGACTAATTGGTAGCTTCCTTCGAAGTCAGAGTGCTCCTATTTGAGAGGCAAGGAATCAACAGCTGCATGCAAATGAGTCATATCCGTAAAACGAATGCACACGCAACACTCAGAATCTGGAAAAACACAAAGTCCAGAAGGTGATAAACAACCGGAACTTTCCGCCAGAGTTTACAGTCCGTGAACGCGAAGAAGAAGAAGGAGAATGCCTTTATGTGAAACTGCCTAGCATTTTCTCTCTCGGGTTCCTTCTGCTTGTTTCTCCCTACAACCGTCCCACTGTCACGATATACCCCAGTTGTCTCCTCGTTGAATGACCAAAAATGTAGAATCTCTTTCTCTCTCTCTCTCTCTCTCTCTCTCTCTCTCTCTCTCTCTCTCTCTCTCTCTCTCTCTCTCTCTCTCTCTCTCTCTCTCTGTCTCTGTCTCTGTCTCTGTCTCTCTCTCTCTCTCTCTCTCTCTCTCTCTCTCTCTCTCTCTCTCTCTCTCTCTCTCTCATCTTACCTCTCTACATTTATGTATTTGAGTAGTTCGTACATCAAAGGATATCAAGACCATCCAACCGCCTAGGTTCAGTAATAATGAACACGAAGGTGACTGATGTGTTTCCGCTGGAATGTTTCTACGAAGTGTAGACAGCAAATTGTCCTACACTAGAGGCTCCCGGTGTGTGTTCTGGTGCCCTATTATATGGAAAAACAACAATTGACCCACTGCATACCCAAAAGCATGTCGCAAGAGCCGACTTATTGGAAGCTGTCTTCGGAGCGGGAGTGCATCTGCCTGAGTGGCAGGGAACCAACAATCTGCACACAAATGAGGCAGATTTGTAAAACGAATGCATACGCAACACTCAGGTTCTGGAACAGTCCAAAAGTGGACGAACAACTAGAACTTTCCACAAAAGTTTACAGCTGGTGAACGAGAAGAAGAACAAGGCACCAGAGAAGTTATTCCCGTCCTTTTTATAATTGTCTGTTCATATTAATGTTTCCAGTGTTGGCTCCGGTGCTCCATTGTAAGGGAAAAATCACGAGACCTGCTGCCTCCAGATCTTTGACCTACTGCCTCAGAAACATAGACCTACTGCCTCAGAAACATGGACCTACTGCCTCAGAAACATGGACCTACTGCCTCAGAAACATAGACCTACTGCCTCAGAAACATAGACCTACTGCCTCAGAAACATAGACCTACTGCCTCAGAAACATAGACCTACTGCCTCAGAAACATAGACCTACTGCCTCAGAAACATAGACCTACTGCCTCAGAAACATAGACCTACTGCCTCAGAAACATAGACCTACTGCCTCAGAAACATAGACCTACTGCCTCAGAAACATAGACCTACTGCCTCAGAAACATAGACCTACTGCCTCCAGAACATAGACCTACTGCCTCAGAAACATAGACCTACTGCCTCTCTAACAAGCATGTCGCAGGATTCAGCTAATTGGCAGCTATCTTTGAAGTCAGAGTGCACCTGGAAGGGACAGCAAGCTGGATACAAATAAGCCGACTGTACACAAATATGTAAATAAAGCGTATGTATACGCAAAACTCAGACCCTACACAAAGTCAAAGTCCAAATGAACGAACAGCCAAGATTTTCCACCGTAGCTTACAGCCGCTAAAAAAAAAGAAGAAGAAGATGCATATATCATCTGCCTCTGAACCCAAGGGCTTAGTAACATTGGGACACTAAAATTCAGGGGCCTCTACACTGAGCATCAATAACTCAGGAGCTCCCCCCCCCCCCCCCAATCACTCGATTTCCTTAAAAATAAAAAGAGGAGGAACATTTGAGGCCGTTAAACATTATAAACTAATCAAGTAACATAAAGTGTATTGATCGGCACTTATAGAAAGAAGTAGAAAGATAGAAGAACACACTATACAACATAAAGATCGAAAGCTATAGTTACCGTGTCGGGAATTGAACCTGTCACCTCCAGACGACGTGTGCGCCTCGCCATGAATACAAGTGCATTAAGAAAATGGTCAGCTAGGTAAACCCCCCTCCCCCCACCCCTCCCCGCAAAAAAATGTGTCTTATTTGCCATGTCTATCGTACAGCTTGAAATCCACAACTATGGAATACGGATTCCCTTTGTACATCTCAAGGGAGCTAATCAACTGCCACACCTCAACGTCGTTGACATTCGACGATTTGTATACAGACTTTGCCTATCTTGGCAAAATACTTACAGTAGATTAAAAGTAAACAAGGCAGAAGGTTGTGAGGTTGTGAATAGAATAGGACATGGCAAGTAAGGCCACACAACATGAAATAGAAGAAGAAAAAGACGAAGAAGAAGAAGAAAAAGAAGAAGAAGAAGAAGAAGAAGAAGAAGAAGAAGAAGAAGAAGAAGAAGAAGAAGAAGAAGAAGAAGGTGCTGGAGGAGGAGGAGAAACAGAAGAAGAGGAAGAAAAAGAAAAAGAAGAAGAAGAAGAAGAAGAAGAAGAAGAAGAAGAAGAAGAAGAAGAAGAAGAAGAAGAAGGAAAAAAAGAAAGAAGGAAAAAGAAAGAAAGAAAGAAAGAAAGAAAGAAAGAAAGAAAGAAAGAAAGAAAGAAAGAAAGAAAGAAAGAAAGAAAGAAAGAAAGAAAGAAAGAAAGAAAGAAAGAAGAAGACGCGGCCTATAAACCATGCATAGCAATTCTCTTTATAAAATATTTGTTTTTACATTTCATATTATGTTAGACACACTTTTGTTGATTTCTTTACTATTCAGCACACTATTATTACGCACCTGAGCAAGAGTCTTGCCTCTGCGCTTCCCCATACCCTTCCCTTCCCTCAAGCACCCCCAACCTTAGTGTTTTCGCTCCTGATTGACATGTAAGCCTGTACAATGCATTCATACAAGCTATCTGTCCTAAGGTGTATCTGATGAAGCAGCAGACGAATGGATCAAGCGGTCAAGGTCTTTGGAGTTTAATTTCGTCGAGACAGCGTCTTGGAACAAGTGTGGCCGACCAAAGAATGCCTTTGCTGTTCACAGCGATGGCGGAGCCGTCTGTGTCCGATACAGATCTCCAAATGACCGTCTGCTGCAAGGTTTTTTCTTTCATTTTAAAGTATCGTTTTAAATGATTTCAATATCTCAGTAAGTGCTCAAGTATGCTCAATTTATTATCATAACATTCCTCCGAAGTCGGAGTACATCTGCCGGAGAGGCGGGGAACGAGTACTGCAAACAAAAAAGCCAGTAAAACGGATGTACACGCAAAACTCAGGTCAAGGTAAAAGCCAAAAGTCCATTTTGGACGAACAACCGTGACTTACCGCCGGAATTCACAGCCGGTGAACAAGAAGAAAAAGATTATCATAACATAGTCCCTTGACGACGGGGGTGGGCAATCATACCCCCCCCCCCCCCCTCAACGATGTGTTGTCTTCATCTGCAAGTATTAGCTCGTGTGTTGACACCCCTCCGTGCCTTGACATGAGGATGTCAAAATTTGCCTCACCCTCTTTTATTTTTCCTGTCTGCTTTTCCACATTTCTTTCCAGTGGTCAGGATATGTTCCATTCTCCTTCTTCTCATAAAATGACCAAAGTGATGTTTGTGATAAGCTGTCTTCGCTGTTATTAATTCATCTGGGTTGCTTACTTTCTGGCTCTCCCAATACTTCTAAATATTCTTCTGTAAAAACCAAATCAGTAAATTTTTTGCATTGTTTATTGTTATCCAGGATATCCCTCATTAGCTTAGATAATGAAAATGTAAATGACCCATTTTTACGTAATTGTGACATCGGACATATGGCTCTACTGCCATAACATTCTGGCCCCATACCAGATCATGTAATTCGTTCTTGTACTATAATAAGAATTTTGCATGTTTTAGGAATACTGTAATAATGTGAGGGCCCTTTGGGGTTTGGTGAACAGTGCGGAGGAGCGTATGGATCATTACGGTCTGAGGAGAATGGCACTGCGAAGAGTTACCTGGGTTTTATGGTTAACGCACAAAACTCAGGGGAAGGATGAGGCGGATATACAATCAGACAGTTACTGTCACCATCTGAATTGGAACTCTTCGCTTGCTGCTGAAGATGGGAACTAAGCACTTATGGAAGTGTCCCAAGTGCTGTGATGTCGATTCTTAATTTAACAAAGAAGAAGAAGAATGAAGAGGGAATAAAGGAAGGAGTAAGAAAGGAGGGAAAAGAAGGGGGAAGGAGAAAGAAAAAGGAAGAAGAAATAAGGATGAAGAAAAAAGGAAGACGGAGAAAAAGGAAGGAAGAAGAAAGGATGAAGAAAACGGAAAAAGGAAGACGGGAAAAAGGAAAGAAGAAGAACGGAAAAAAGGGAAGAAGAACTGTAAAAAGTAGGAAAGAAGTAAGAGGAAAGAAGAAGGAAAGAAGTAAGAAAGAGGAAAGAAGAAGGAAAGAATGCAGGAATGAAGGAAGGACTAACGAAAGGAAGGAAGAAAATGAAAAAAAAAATGATAGAAGAAGGGAGGAAGAAGACTTTCTAAACATCCAGCTTCGATTCATTACGACTATATTTTCAGCATTTGATCCTTGCAGTGGTTTAGATGTTCTCCCAAGTTTTCTCTGCACATCGCACAACCACAACAGTATATGTTAAAGTAGATTTACACACTAAGTGGAGCATTGGGCATATGCGAGTAGACTCATATTTGTATCGACTAATCAACCGCCGATGGATGAAATGGTCAAAATCACGCCGACCTCCTTTACTTCACACACCTAGATCTAGTACCTATTTAAGGCCGTGACGACCTAGAAGCCAAAGTCATGTCTGAAACAAATCCCGGATTGAACCAACGACCGTAGGATTCACAGGCGAGCTTCTAGGCGTTATACCACGGCGGCTCCACGGCCAATACAGTCCAGCTGCTTATAATGTTTAATCAGCATTAGCTTATTCTAGGGGCTAAAATTCTTCCCATATGCCCGATGCACCCAAGGCGTAAATATGGATCTTTAAATTTCTGTTTTCAACTATTGTCTGTTAAGACGGAAAGGTGCCAATATCGTTATCGACACAGTTGTTGCTGGTTCGGCTGCTTTTGTCTCCCTGCCTGTAAATCGTCTGGAAAACTCTTCCTCCAATACATATTGCATTCAGTTTGTCTGAGCCAAAATGTGTTTGCATTTACTAAATCGAGATCTGTGTGACCAGAACCGATACCAGAGTGCAATTTCCACGGGAGATTGGTGTGTTACAGAGCTTATTTTCTCAAATCCATCGGTTCGTGCAGAGTGGCAAGCTTCGCTGCGGAGGAAACGGGTCAAGAGTATTGTCTGGATTTGTTCACGCCCGTATGTTGGAAAATGAACACACGGACAGACTGGCTGGCTTTGGACTACTTAGTGGAATACTGATACATGATAAGGCAGACGTGTTTAGTGCCTTGTGGGAGAGCCTGTACAGTTCAGAGGAGCAGATGGATCACCACAGTCTGGTGAGACTGATGCAGGGGGGAGTGACGAGAGGTTCTGGCAAATGCTCGAGGCTCAAAGGAAAGGCAAGACCGACGTTTAATCAGAATGCTACTGGCACTATTAGTTTCGGAACTCTTCGCTGGCTGCTGAAGATAGGGACGGAGCGCTTATGGAAATGCCCCGAGTGCTGTGCTGTCGGTTCTTGAATCAAATCAAATCAATCAATCAATCCACCGGCCATCATGATGTGCAAAACGTTTACTAAACCACACGTGAAGAAGCTGTTAGGATGTTGTAGATCACGATTCAGCTTATGATATACGCATTGCCTGGAAGTATTTCTTAGTGATGTTGGCAATGTTTTGTCCTACGTGTTTAGACATTGTCTGCAGACACTAAACCAATGAGTGAACGAAACCAAAGAGTAATTTCAGTGAACAATGTGTAGGACGTCTAACGGGGGTCGAAGAAGGACAGGAGGAGTGAAAAACGAGTTTCTATCAAAGCCCTTGTCAACTAGCACGACATGAACACGGAAACAACTCACGGACACCAGCCCCACACACAAGTTATGAACTCTGTGTCTCCTCAGGAGACCTGATCACCAACATTGACCATATCAACCAATATCTTGTCCAGAAGCTATCATCTAGGATTATTATTATTACTACTACTATTTCTGCTCGTTAATAAAGGTTTAGGTCAAAAAGTTCGATTGTCTCTGGGGGCTTTTTCTTTTCCCTTATCGTGATCTTTCTTGATATTTTTCATTGACTTTATGTTTTTATTATTTTTATTATTTATTATGACTTTTTTTTTTATTTTTCAAATAACTTGACTGCAGTCACCCTATTTTCGTTACTTTAGGAAGGAAGCCAATGCAATAACTGCACACTTATAATGAGACTATATGAATAATCATTTGTTACTTGCAAATCTAATGTTAAAACTCTTTATAATCTTGTAGGAGAAGTGATGTCCTACTGGCTTGCCCGGCTCCTGGGACTAGATAACGTCCCTCCTGCCCACCTGTCTATAACAGGCTCGTCTCAATGGGAGAAACTGCTGCATTGGTTCCCAGAGCTGGGATGGACCAAGGGAAATCTTGTAGCCATAATCATGTGGATAGAGGAAATCGACTCACGACCTGAGTATGTCATAAACTGTACGTCACCATCAAGTTAGGTGTTGCATTAATTTAATGTGCGTTTTGATTATACTTAAACAAGCCCACTGAGCAATTAATTATAATGCAGAAAATCAATCTTGTTCGTTTTCTTTCTTAATTGTGTTCGTTTTTCTCATGTCGCTCTATCTCGCGTCTCCTCCTCCTCCTCCTCCACATCCACTCTTCATCTTATTCTTCTTGTTCATTCTCCCCCTCTTCTTCTTTTTCTTCTTCTTCTTCTTCTTCTTCTTCTTCTTCTTTTTCTTCTTCTTCTTCTTCTTCTTCTTCTTCTTCTTCTTCTTCTTCTTCTTCTTCTTCTTCTTCTTCTCCTCCTCCTCCTCCTCCTCCTTTTACAGACGGATCTGGGTTGCGAGGCAGGCAAAGTGCATGGGTGTTGATAGTAAAGGCGAATGGACGTTGCTTAGTGCAGCAAAGCCTAGAGTATGATATTACAACGTCTAGTTTGAGAAAAATGGTGGAGGCCGTCTCTGCTGCCTTCCGCTGGCTTGAGAATCAGATGTACACACATGCCGTGACTGTAACTGACTCAAGGAGCATGTTTAAAAAAGATGGACACAGACATGCTTCGTGTAGAGTGGCAATCATCACTTCAGTGGTCCCAGGTACTTAGCATCCTTTAGATATTTTCTCCCGGTGATGCCTGTGTGTTGGGAAATGAGCAGGCAGACAGGCTGGCCGGCTCCGCACCACTTGGTGTCAAATTGATGTATGACAAGTTAGATATTGTGAGGACCCTTTGGGAATGAGTGAACAGTAAGGAGGCGCAGATAAATCATTACGGTCTGAGGAGAATGGCATTGCGAGGAGTTGCCTGGGGATCTGGCCAACGCTCAACACTTAGGGGAGGGATGAGACGGATTAAAAATCAGACGGTTGCTGGTGCCATCAGAATTGGAACTCTTTGCTTGCTGTTGAAGATGGTATGGAGCACTTATGGGAGTGTCCTGAGTGCTGTAATGTGGATTCTTAATTCAACATTAAACATAATGCCACTCTAGTCCAAGACTTTAGTTCATCTGCTACTATTTCCACTCTGACTGCCTGTCTATTTCGTATGCGTCCTCTTAGGGACTTTCTTACTGCATATGCTTTGGCTTTGTATTTGTTCTTTGAACTCGAGCAATGAAACTCTGCCAAAAATCATAACAATTTTTGGTGCTTTATTAATATCCTCCACATACAGGGGAAATCCACACGTCAAGGGGCATTCTAATATTTCAGATGGTGGTAGATAGGCTGCATGCAGTTGTGGAACCTAGGCTGCACGCAGTCGAGGGACCTAGTGTGACAGTACTGATTACAGTCACGTTTTTTTACAAGAAGGAAATAGAAGGAAAGAAACACACGGAGGAATAAGGAGGTATAGAGTCGCTTGAGATAAAGAGGGTCGCTAGACTAACAACCCTGAGGGCATTGACTCAAGAGTCGACAAAGACGTGGGTGCATGCCAAGCTTGTTCATGAACTGTGGTAGGCCAATATACTCGTAAATTAACAGAGGCAGGGCAACGAACAAAGGCAACGACACAAGATTTCCTGGGGATTTTCCATCCAAATATGCAAAGTGGCTTGGAATACCATCTTTGGCGGGAAAGAGAAAGGTTCATGAACCTAAGAAGATAAGGTTCGTGAACTCAGGTGCAAAGGAGAGAGATATAACCAAGTGGCGTCGGGGGTATATACACTACCAGCGAGTAGCCCTGAGAGAGACACTTGCACTGAGATCTCCGCCAACGAAGGATGCTGTGGGCATTCTGATCATGTCGCTACGATGGAGCTAAGTCCATACTCCTGTTTTGTGACTTGCCAGATAATGCACGAAATATTGCTTCATGTTATGTAAGTAGTACTGTGTTCATGTAAAGTAATTAGATAAGATAAGATCATGTTGGGTTTTGGTAGGACACATGATGATGATGATTTCTCTGATATGCGTTAACTGGATCTTGCGAGTCGTCTAACTGTACACCTGAGACATAGCAGATGCCATGTTGACAGATCCAAGTGTATTAATGCAAAGTATGAGTATCCATATATATGTTATAATGATTTCTGGGAGCAGACATCTTCTTGGAACAACAACGAGAAACGTTTTGTGCATGCAGCATACGGAGGCTGCCCTCTTATTTAGGTCAGAGGCCCAATATCGTATTTCACAGGTAGAGAGAGAGTGGTTTGGTGAATAAACAGGCTAGCCCTAGAATGACCCTTTCTAACGGCCAGACTGTCTGCGATGTTTTGATTTGTGATACAGGAGGAAAGCAGCGGGCACTGATGTCATAAGATGTATAATTGTGTATGTATAGTCATGGTTGTCATGAAGAATATAGGCTTCTGTTAGAAGACATAATAACTACTGGAAGACCGGCACAGCACATGATGGTGATGGTCATGATAACAGATAAGCATGACGTGTGAAGTATCATATTGAACAGCAGCGTTAGCGCTGCTATGGAATGATAACGCCATGAGTATTAACATGATGCAGTAATAATGTTGTAAACATTTAGTTGTGATTTGAAGAGAGAATGATATAAGAAGATATGGGAAAGTGAAAGTCATTTAGCTTTAACTGTCCTCGGCAAGCTGCTGAGAAGGGAGCACACGGATATAATAGAATTTACCTGTAAAGGGGCGGGACAGAAGTATCAGATGTTGAAGTGAGTGGGGGATGCAAGGCCAGGTCTGTAGCCGGACTGTTTGTTGTTTGAGGAGGAAGTGCATGGGCATTCATGTGGTAAAAGTAAATAGTGCATGTATGGTTATACATAGTCATATGTGTTGAATAAGAAGTACATGTGGGTTAGTGGATGGAGGTTTATTCAAGGCTATCAGAATGCCTGTTTAAAGGGAGAACTATTCGTATGAAGAAAGGCAGTTGTTTGCAGGGTAGAATAAGATGTATGTTGTTGCGTTCACGTTTATATGCTTGGCAATGTGAACTTATAGATTGTTTGAATATATTTAACAGGTGACATGGCAGTTTCTGTCATGGTGTGCCGGGTTGGCTAAATAGGCTAGCTGGTCTTTGGACTGCAATCAGCTATAGTTAGATGGTATCTAGACTGCAATCAGCAGTATGGCTAGATGGTAGTCGGTATTTGGCATTAGAGTAGATGGCTAGATTGTAGTTGTTATTTGGCTTATTATTTGTGGAGCAATGAAGGATACTCTAGGCGTCATTTGCTAGTTTATCGTTGAGTGGATTCTGCTGTCAGTTGCTGAGTTTTATAGCGTGAGGACGTTCTGTTTATAACATAATATAACATCTGTCGGTTGCGTAACATGAGATAGACGACTTTGTAATGCTGTTTCTTAATAAACATGATTGTTAGTTGTTATTCTTTTATTCCATCGTTAGTTTGTTGAGTATAGGAGTGGTACTATTATTGTTAGTCTCTGTAGTCTTTATACCACCACCACTTTACTATATATCTACTCTCTTCTTCATAAGACCTCCACTGACTATTACCTGATCGTTTGGGGTGTAGACTTATTACTACACTCTCCACACAGGAGAACCTATTGTCCTCTTATACATCCTTTAACTATTATTTCTTCTCGTCTGTCTCTCTCTACTTTTATATCTTCTCTTCTTCTTCTATCCCCTCTTTAAAATGTACACACCCCCCACACTGTGACATTTTTGGCGCTGCGAACAGGATTCCTTTTGAATGCGTATACCTCTTAGTCTATGGTAGATGGTGCTATCCATAGTGTGGTATATGATTCTTAGTGGCCGTTCAGTGTTTTGGTCAGTTGGTAAGGTTTGAATTCCATCAGTTAGGAGTTGTTCTATCATTCACGTTCTTAAACAGAGTTGTTTAGTGGATGTATTATTTCCAGTTGTTGGTAGAGAAGTAGCAAGTAGATCTCTTTGAGGTGTGAAGTTTTGATTTAGAATTAGTAAGCCAACCCGGTGCGAAAAATTCAGTTGAACCTCCTAAGCAAGATGGACGAGAGCACTCGTGTGAGCAGTAACATGCACCATGAAGGCAGTTCCCTGACCTCGGCGGTGGAAGGATCCTGTTTGTCAAACAGACCAGGGTGTACGCACATCGTTATGTTGCCAGAGCGCGTAAACATAACGCACTTTGAGGGGACATCAGATCCCACGGTCACAGATGAATTCGTTCGTCGAGTCAAGTCCGTGTTCAGAAATGAACGGATGACTCCGGCAGATCAGATTGACCTGGTGCTTGATCATGTCACATCGAGCGTCAAGCAAGAGCTGAAGTTGCATCAAGCAGGGAATGCAAACGATATGCTAGATGTCATACAGGAAGTGTATGGGGAGCATATTTCGCCCTACGGCACGGTGAGAATGAGAGTCTCCATAGTTTTTCTCATCGTATTCATGAAGCGTTTCAAGCGATTATCAGTGCGCAAAAGAAAGTGAAAATGTCCCCATGGGATACGTCGATCTTGAGAGATCAATTCGTCGTACAACTGAGAGACACGATTTGCAGAAAGTTAGCGCTAGAGAGAATTCACCAAGATCCTAGTGTGACTTTTCTGTCCATCAGAAATTTTGCTCTTAGATGGGTGGGTGATGAAAATTCTTTTTCTAATAATGTGGTTTTGACTAAGGAGTCAGTGATGCAGGTGAATGTTGTGAGTTCTTCAGTGTCGTCGACTGAGAAGTGTGAAGTGTCCGTTTTGAGGGATGAAGTGAAACAATTGAAACAACGAGTAGCGGCTTTGTTACAGCCCCCTGTACAGCGCAAACGATGTTTCCTTTGCCAGTCATCATCACATCTAATGAGTGCCTGTCGACAGAGAACAACTGTCGGCGATGTTCGGCGCCCTATTAACGTGCAGAGACGAGAAGCGTCTAACTACAGCAAGGACAACGAAACTGGGCAAGCGTGGCGCAAGAGGCCACAGGGCTTATGTCCAGTTGTACTATCTGCAGGGTTCAACAACACCGCCAGTGCGAATTCAGTTGAGAAACCCAATGATA